ATATAATATATAACTAAAATAATATATATATATATATATATATATATATATATTCTCTATATCTAAATGCTTATTCTTTAAATAATAATAATAATTATAATAATAATAATAATAATTATACTAATATTATATATATTGCATATGTAATTAGGTAAATATTTTTTGGTGGATTGTGGATTTCCTAATCGATGTCAATTTTTAGCTCCATTTCGAGGTGTAAGATATCATGTACAAGATTTTGTAAGTCAGGGTAATGATCCTGAAAATGAGAAAGAATTGTTCAATCTTCGTCATGTGTCTTTAAAGAATGTGATCGAGAGAATATTTGGTATTTTTAAATCAAGGTTCACAATTTTTAAGTCAGCACCTCCATTTTTATTTAAGACAAAAGTAGAACTTGTGTTAGTATGTGTGCACTACATAACTTTCTACGCAAAGAATGTCGTTCTGATGAATTTTCAATTGAAGCGGTAGATGAACCTTCATCTTCAACATTACCAGTTAATGAAGATCATACTTTTGAACCTATTATTCAAACTCAGGAGTAAGAACGAAAAGACGCTAATGCTTGAAGGACTAGTATAATTATGGATATATGGGTGAATGCTATTTAAGAAGATAAGATATTATGGAGAATTATTATTATTATTATTTATCTAGACATTATTATTTTTTATTATTTTTGTCTTTGACTCTTTTTAAATTTAAATGTATGAATTTTTTTTTGAAATCTTATCAAATGTCAAAAATTCACGAAAATTCTACAAAATCTACAAAATCCCATAGAATCCATTAAAATTCTGATTTAAAAGTCTTGCAGAATCTATTAAAATCCTGATTTTAAGTCTTGTAGAATCCTGTAAAATCTTAAAAGTCATAAAAATCCTGTAAAGTCTTTTAAAATCCGTATAATTTTTTTTAACTAAAAAAGTCCTTTAAAATCATAATCCAATACACCCATCTAACAGTAGCACTTTTCTAAATACGATGAATGATGTTGGTATGATACATTTTACATAAGGTAGCGGTGCATGGTAGTGGAGGAGTTGGCGGGCGTTGTAGGTTGATATTAAAAAAATGATGCAGAGTGTTTCATTATTAAAATGAATAGGAAATTGGCGTGTTCCGATTTGGTGTGTTTGACTAAAAAGAAAGTGGATGCACCAACCACGACGACAGTGCCATCTCACAAACTCTGACAGATTTTTTCTCAGATTATTTTAATGAATTAACAACTGACATATGAAAGAAAGAAAAAAAATATATTCCATTGAGCCTTCAACGAATCAATTAGAATCATCATTATCTCATGGTGACAGAATGATCTAGCTCATAAGTTCCCCACGGGCTCTCTCTTTTTGACTTTGCATTTCCATTAATCCAAAGCCTTTCACTCCACTTTTCTGATTTCAAGCTTGTTCAATCTGTAAGTTTTGACTCTTTGAATCACCCCACCTTCCTAAGTAAGATTCTCTCTCTCTCTCTCTCTCTCTCTCTCTCTCTTCAAGGCCGAAAGTTCCTTTGCATCCCTCTCCCGCTGTTGTTTCATTGCGGCCATCTCCTGCCTGAGCAGACGCACGGCCTCGGAGAGATCAGTTTCGTCTTCAACTTCTACGTGTTCCTCCTCCTCGGTTTGGTGATTTTCTGTGTTCATTCTCCTTGTCTTCGTCATTGCCTTGTTCGTCGAACTTCACAAGTATCTCGGTTCGGCCCCACGGTGGGCGCCAAAATGTACCTGCCGAAGGGTACACTAGTAATCTTCTCGTGTTCTGAAGGCCGAACGAGAGCTCCGATCGAATACTCCGGTGATGGGGAGGTACCTGCAAAAGGCACTCTGATGCTCAAGTCAGGACAAAGCACAAATATCGATAGCAATTAATGAACAGTGACGTTACCTTGTGACATGAGCTATTTATATTGACCCTTATGGGCCCGGATTCCCATGGGCCCTGCACAAGATTACCATATTAGGTAATACGCCTCTAATCGGCTTATTAGTGTGATTAACTCTTAACCCTTGATTAAGGATGACTCTTGTCCCTTGATTAATGATAATTCACATTCACTAGGTATCCA